GGGGCTCGCGCAGAAGGGAGGAGGGGAGACTGGGGACAGGGTCCTTCTCCCTCTTCCTCATCTGCTCCCGACCACCTTAAATCCGGACCGCGAGTGTGGGCGCGCGCGCCGCTCCGGAGAGCTGCGCGAGCCACAGTTAACTCTGAGCCGGCCGCGGGGCGCAGGCAGGGGAAGGGGCAGGCGCAGCTTGCGGGAGCGCGTTCTCCCGCCCGCCCTGCGCGCCCATCCTCCGGGTCCCCTTAGTCTCCGCGGCGGAGCCGCCTTCCGGAGTCCTTAGCCTTGGGAGAAGAGGGAGACGGTGTAGAGGCCCAGGCGGGGACACGCGAGGTCCCGCGGGCGGGGCGGGGCTGCCGGCGGCGTTGGCGAGGGGTCCTGGCGGGCGCCTCTGCCCTGCGCGCCGGGCCTCCGCCTGCTGCAGAGCTGCGAGCCCAGCCGCGCGCAGACGCCTTTCCACTCCTCGTATCCTACGCTGTCGATCCCGCGCTACGGTTTCCGCGTGCGCGGGGCTGGGCTCGGGCCGCCGCTCCCGGGCGCTGCTCGCGCGGAGCCGGGATCCCGCCCGAGCGCAGAGCCCGGCTCTGAGCGCGATAAGGACCCTCCGCGTGCCAGGCGAGGGTAGAGCCAGGGGGTAGGGGCGAGGCGAAGGCGGGCCCGCACCTCTTGCCCACCTGGCCCCTCCAGCCTCGGATCTCCACCCGAGACCCCAACCGGGTTCCCTTCCCCCACGCCCGTGCACCCTGCCGGGGACCCAGGGCCGAGCAGCCCCACGACGGGCTACTCTCGCCGCCTCCTCTGCGCGCTGGCAGGGTTTGAACTTCTGACCTTCTGTCAAGTTCCTTCAGACGAAAGAAAAGAAAACAAATTACCCCCCCACCACCACCTTGGGCAGTGGCAATTTTGGTTCCTAACACAAAAGGGGATAGCGACAGCCACAGTGGGGGTGGGGAAGGCCAGGCCACGATCATTTCATCCACCCCATGGATCCCCCCCAAAACGAGGACGGCTGCAGAGGTGACAGTCGGAGAGGTTCCCCACGGTGCGTCCCTCCCCAGCTTCTTATTCCGAATTGGCAGAATTAAGAGGGAGCGGGAAGAGACTGGGGGTGAAGGAGTGAAACCAGGTAATCTCCGGGCCTCGGACTTGCTCGCTCCCCAGGGAACCTACCACCCGCTGGCCCCTCGTTTTAAATAACCACCTGATTCGGGGCCCAGGTGCGTGCCCCTCTCCTCAGTCTCGCCTCCCTCCCTGTCTGTCTAATGTGACTGCCGCCCAAGTCCCTCAACCATGGCAGGATCGTCCCCAGTGGAACTTTCAGAGCAGTTCTGGAACGCAGGAGCTCCTGGTTAATATTAACTCCGGAGAGGGAAGCGCAGACAGACACTTTTCCTGCAGGCCAGGCCCCAGCGAGTACCCGGCTAGTGTGCCGGCGGCCAGGGACCTGGGGCGGGAGGCCGCGAGGGGCCTGATCTGCAGGCTCGGCAGGCTGAAGGGGGGGGGGCACGAGGGGCGCCTCGATGGATAGATGTGCTTTGTGGCTGGTGGGAGCAGGATCTCAGGTGTAGGTTGGGGAGGGGGTCCTGCTTGGAAGAGAGGAGTCTGCCCCCACACACACACATACTCCCAGTTGGAGGAGAGAATTGAGTGAAGTGTTTAGGGCCCCTTGAAGTGGGGCACCACCTCCCTCCCAGTTGGGAAAGCCCAGCTTTGGCAGTGACTGGTCCTTCTGGGCCGCGCGGCTGTGCGGGGAGGTGGGCAGGAGCTCCAGGAACAACTTGGCCTCCGCCGACACAAAGCCGGGCCCCAGTGACCCTGCTGGGCTTCACGGTGGCTGCACAAAGTCGGGCTTGATTCGAGGCACACGACCCAATGAATTAATAACCGGCCTGGGCTTCCAGGCTTGGCCTGCTTCATTCCCTCCTAGCGGGCGGGGGAGGGTCCGGGATCTGCCTGTTGAGCCACGCTGGCCCTGGCTCCCGGGAGGGCACCGGGGAGTTAGGGTGCCAATTCAAGACACCATCGGCCTCGGCCGTTCTGGGTCCGGGGCCTGTGTCGCCTGGGGCTCCTTGCCAAAGGTCCTTCACGTCTGCCCTAGTGGTGCAGCCCAAGGTACGGGGGTGGGGGGGGCGGTGAGCCCTCGCCATCCAGCCCTTGCTCGCTCCTGCAGCTGGGTAGGAAGCTATGTAAAGCCACATCGCTTGGTTTCCCGGCGGAGAGGAGGTAGCTGGGTGCAGCGTCTGCTGGAGGCGAGGCGATAAGCTTGCGCGCCATGCTGTGCGCCTGCGCGCACCGACTTCCAACCTGGGTTCTAAACGAACTCTGTTTTACTGATTGGTTTTCCTCTAGAAAACGCTCAATGCTAGATCCCCAAGACTGCCTCACTCTAACTCTGCCCCTCGGACTTTTTTCCTTAAAGAAAACTGCTGGCAAGCTCAGTCCTTGCAAGTGCTGACCTGTCGTTATCAGGGCCTCGCGCCCCTCCCCCGCCATTTCTTGTATGTTTAACTCTATAACTATATTACTGGGTTTTATTGCTGCCAGATACACAAGACTTTTCCTGTTGCGCAATTTGTCAGTCCCCCCTGAAGGCGTGGGCAACAGTCTTTGCAAGATCTCCGCCCTTTGCAAGAGTTCCCCTGGCTATAGTTAGAACCCTTCTTGTAGGGCCCCCTTGCCCATCCTTCTAACCTCTGAGCATCTATCTCAGCCTGGGGGACGGGAGAACAACAACTTGAAATTCTTTTTCCTGCCTCCCCTGGGATGTACTTCTCTGGGCAATGTGTCTTCTGCCTTTAGTCTCCACTCCCCCATCCTCAAATCCAGAATTCCAACCCCAGCAATATAAACTTCCAGGCAGTGAATTAGCACCACACACGTGTGCACACACACACACACACACACGGGACTCAGCTTTATTACAGCCTTTCCTAAATGTGGTGCAAGAACTATAGAGGGACCCCCCCCCCCACTATCTATCCCAAGCTCCACTTTACCTTGTGGGGAGGGAAGATGGGGGCACAGTTTGGAGAGCTAGGTCCTCTTGGCCAGGGCTTTGAGGTTTGGGGACTTTCTGGTTCCCTCCCCCCCTGCTTTTCCCACCCTACCCCCTCCACTTCTGAAGTTTGCTCTGCAAACTGGCTGGACACCATTCTGCGCTGGGGCCAAGAAAGCAAGAGGGGAGGAAGCGAACAGGTTAAAGAAAACAAGAATACAATCAGACCACAGACAACCTGGCAGAGACGAGCTCCTCCAGGGAAGGAATGTGGCTGAGGGACCAAGAATGTTTGTCCTCTGGCCCTGCCTGTGCTGGACATTAGCATTCACCTGCTTGCCTTGCCCTTGGGCTGCCTCCCACCCCTCAGCAATGCTGTGGGCTTCCTCACCCCAGACAGTCGTACGGAAGGCCCCCTGTCCACAGATAATGCAAAACTTCCAATCCTTAAAGTGTACCAGGCATTCTACCTCGCTGCAAAGGTACATCTGGCCAACTGCAGGGGTTTAGCTAGGGAGTTAGGGGGACCCTTCTGTTGGGTATGCTGAAGAGAGGGGCCAGGACGCTGGGGCTGGCTGTGGGGAGGGGTGCAGTCAGCTGATGGTGCCTCTGGGAACTTGGGAATTGCTTTCAGGACTTTTGTGGTTGCACTAAGGTTTCAGGGTTGGAGAGGGGCCCTCAGCTGGTTCCCAAGAGGATTTGACCCTCTTGCAACACCCCATCTCCTCATTCACACAACCCCTGGGCCTCGGGTTGGCGGAGCAGTCACAAGTAGTAACCTGTGTCGGTTGGGGTTGCCCCTTCTCCCCACAGAGGTGCAAGGACAAGCTAAATGCCTTGGCCATTTCCGTGATGAACCAGTGGCCAGGAGTGAAGCTACGGGTGACCGAAGGCTGGGATGAAGATGGCCACCACTCAGAGGAGTCGCTACACTATGAAGGTCGAGCAGTAGACATCACAACCTCTGACCGCGACCGAAGCAAATACGGCATGCTGGCCCGCCTGGCTGTGGAGGCTGGCTTTGACTGGGTCTACTACGAATCCAAAGCGCACATCCACTGCTCCGTGAAAGCTGGTAAGCAAGCACACTGTGGCCTTTCTCCACCTCCCTTCCTATGCCAGACCTATACCCACAACCTCCAGATCTCTTCTCCCACAGGAGGGTCTGGAAGAAAAAGGAAAGGGGCATAAGATCCATGAAGGGGGCAAGGCTCTGGAAATGGACTGGGACATGTCCTTTGAACTCCCCAGTCAGGACCTGCTGCAATTTTTGAGGCCACCAGGCTCAGCAGTCTTTACATGTCCAGATGCCCAGGCCAGGTAGCCCCAGGCAGGTAGTAGAGAGGGAGGAGAAAGGGCAATTGTGAAAGGGAGCCTACAACTTTTCCTGGCCTTTCCATGTTTGGCCAGGGCTTGCCTAGAGTCTACTCTTTTAGGACTTAAGAACTCACCGCCAGCCCTCCTCCCTCCCCCAAACACAGCGCATAAACCTGGGTGCTGCCTCCTCCTGGCTGGGCACCTGTGAATTCTAAACTAACTTAACTCACTCGCTAAGCCTGTGGGGAAAGGCCTGGTGGGAGGTAATAAATCCAGTAGTTACCACTTCCAACATCAGGAGGCCGCAAGCCCAGAAGCATCCGTTCTTATTAGGAGCCCAGCTGGGATGCGGAGAGCCCCAGGCGGGGCCGCGGAAGTCAATCCCGCCGGTGCCGCCGCCCCCAGCCGGCGCGCGGCTGAGTTCCCTGGGCCTGCAACGCCACTAGGTGTTGCCGGGAGGAACCGCTAGGAAGGCATCCTGCACACAACCAAGTAGCCCTCGGGACTGTGTGCACCGACCCCGCCAGCAAGGCAGATAAACGAGAATTTCCGAGGAGTTCAGTCTCCAGTGCCCTTCTCCAGGTTAAGGTGCGGTTCCTAAACTGCACTTCAAAGCGCATGTTAGCTGGAAGACACTTTTAAGTATCAAGGAACGCTTCGTGGGTAAAGAAAACAGTAACTCCTGGCAACAACAGATGGCCAGGGCGCAGGCGCAGTGGTGGGAAGACCTCCCCCCGGAGGGTGTCAGGTCCCGGTACCCCACGGGGCTCCGAGGCCGAACCCTGGTGCCGGCGATCGTTTCTATAGCTGGGCTGGGAAATCGGGGCGGCAGAGTGACCCAGGTCCCGGGCAAGCCCTTCCATGGACCTCAACCCTGCGCTGGACACGCGAGGCCTCCCTGCCACCCCTGTGAGCAGAGTCCCCCTGGCGAGGGCCCCTAAGGGTCTCCATCCAAATGAGCAGCGCTAATCCCGTCCCCAGGGTCTCGCGGGCGGAGCGGATCCCGGCCTCGCAGGGCGGCTCATTGGCATTCTGCGCACGCGGGCCGGGACGCCGCGCCGTGCGTGTCAAGCCGGGTCGTGCGACTCGACGACTCCGGCTCGCCAGCACCCCGGGTCGCATTCCGGGGGGCTACGGAGGGCTTGCAACGGCCAGCCCTGTGCTTCATGCCGGAGAAACCGATGAGAAGATTAAAAACCTTCTGTAATTCCTGCAGAAGATTCTTTCTGGCCATCTCTATTTGCCAAAAGCATGATCCCGGAGATTGGAATGCAAAGAAGACAGGGACCTCCCTCCCCTCCTCCCTGGCCCCCTGCGCCCCGCCCCAACCTCAATTATTGTCCTCGGAGATTGTGAGCCTCCGGGAGCGACCGAGGGCTGGGGAAAGCGCGTAGTCAAGGGGCCTTGAGAACGCGAGCTTCCAGGGCTCCGAGCAGGCCTGGCTATTTAAAATTCAAATACACATCTCGAGTGCTTGGAAGAGAGGCCTGGCTGTGCAAATAGTGCCTTGTGAGGCCCAGGTTTCTGGAGAGTCCGTGTGTGAACTGCACGCGGGGGAGGGGGGGTGCACCTGAGCAAATAGGGAGGGGGCGGCCCGCGAGTGTAGAGAGAGAGTGCGGGGAGAAGGGGGAGGAGGGAGCAATGGACATGTCCCCCTCTTCCAGGAGTGTCTCCTATTTATCCCACAAATCACAATGACAATACCGGGCTCTTTATTGGATTTTAATTAGAAAATCCACCCAAGTCCGGGGCTTTCAGACCTCGGGTGAGCCTCTGGAATGTTTGTCCAGTTGCTACAACTACTACAGCTATTTTACACTCCCCGCCCCCTGCCCCTCCGCAGGCCGGCACTAAGGATCTGGGCGGGCAGCCCGGGTTCGCGAGGCGCAGCAGTGCGGGAGGAGGCGCCGCGCCCCGGGCGAGGGAGCGGAGGGTGCGCCCCCGCGAGCTCAAGGAGGCTTCCTGAGGAATCCAAGTGGAGAGCAAATATCCTCCTGCGACCGCGGCGAGGCTGGGTGTGCGAAAGGGGGATGGGACCACAGGGAGGAGGAAGGCCGGGAGCGTCAGCCGCCTCCCGCAGAAGACGCCAGCCAACTTTTCCCAGCGCCTGTGCCATCCTGGAGGGTCGTTCAGGAATGCGTCTGAATTTCGCCACTGGGCGCTGGGATTGGTGGCGGGCCCGTCTGCACTGGACCAGTCTGGACTCGACCCCCGGCCTCCACCCACGCGCACGCTCCTGGCCCAGCCGAGTAGGGCACCAGCGCGGGGGCGCGCAGGCACACACACACACACACACACACACACACACACACACACCCCAAGCTACCTACCTCTTTCTTTCCTGGCACTCAACACCCCATCCCTCCTCTCTCCACTGCAGAGAACTCCGTGGCCGCCAAATCCGGCGGCTGCTTCCCAGGCTCGGCCACCGTGCACCTGGAGCAGGGCGGCACCAAGCTGGTGAAGGACCTGCGTCCCGGGGACCGCGTGCTGGCGGCCGACGACCAGGGCCGGCTGCTCTACAGCGACTTCCTCGCCTTCCTGGACCGCGACGAAGGCGCCAAGAAGGTCTTCTACGTGATCGAGACGCGGGAGCCGCGGGAGCGCCTGCTGCTCACCGCCGCCCACCTGCTCTTCGTGGCACCGCACAACGAGTCGGGGTCGGAGGAGACCTGGGCGCGGCGGGGCGCGGGCCCGCAGCCGGGGCCGAGCGCGCCAGCCCGGCGTGCGCTCTTCGCCAGCAACGTGCGCCCGGGCCAGCGCGTGTACGTGGTGGCCGAGCGCGACGGGGACCGGCGGCTGCTGCCCGCCGCGGTGCACAGCGTGACGCTACGCGAGGAGGCCACGGGCGCCTACGCGCCGCTCACCGCGCAGGGCACCATCCTCATCGACCGGGTGCTGGCCTCGTGCTACGCCGTCATCGAGGAGCACGGCTGGGCGCACCGCGCCTTCGCGCCCTTCCGCCTGGCGCATACCCTGCTGGCGTCGCTGGCGCCCATGCGCACAGACCGTAGCGGCGACGGCGGGGGCGGCAGCCGCGTCCCTCCCCCCGAGGCGGACGCCGATGCGCCGGCCGCGGGCATCCACTGGTACTCGCACCTGCTCTACCAAATCGGCACCTGGCTGTTGGACAGCGAGGCCTTGCATCCTCTGGGCATGGCGGTCAAGTCCAGCTGAAGTCAGCGGGGACCGGGCAGGGGGCATGGGAGGCGGATGGGGAGGGCAGCAACAGCGAGATGACACAACAGACACGGGAAAAGCGCACGGAAGGAGACTTTTAATTATAATAATAATTAATAATAATAAGTAGGACAGTCCAAAGTAGACTATAAGGGAGCAAAGACCCCGGGGAGTTCTGTTGTTCTGTTTAGTTCCTTTTTTTTTTTTAATTTTTTCGTTATTGTTTTGTTTGCGTTATTTTTCTCCTCTCCTGGCTATTTATTTGTTTGGTATGAATAGATGTTTTAAATAATATGAACCGGACCTTCAAGAGCCTTAACTAGTTCGTGTCTTGGATAATTTATTATTACCATGTGAACTGTACTCAAGGGGGGGGATAGATTATTTTGTGAGGCCAAGCAACCTGCTCAGAGTCTATTTTTCTACCTGTCGGAAAGCAAGGTCTGCACTGCACACCCTCCCCTGCTAGCTCCTGCTCTTCAGCAAGTGTAAACTAAAACCTGCTCCGTGGGGTCCACAAATTATATTTTTATACACAGAATTGTAAATTAGATTTTTTGAGAGATCAATACTTAACTGAATGACATTTCATTTTTTGAAATAGTGTAAAATATGAAAATATATTATTTTAATTTAACTAGTTTCCAATGTAACAGCTGTCTTCTGTACTGTCTTTATGGTTTCTGTTTGCTTTGTACCAACCACCACTTGGGTCACTTTCTTGGAAACCAAGACTGTTACACACACGCATACACACATACAGACACACAGAGATGCAGACACACACACACACACAGGCACACAGACATACAGACGCAAATAGACACAGATACACACACATACACAAGACACACAGACACCACACAGATACACACACAGACACACACATACATACGCACACTTTTTTTGACAAACTGGAAGAACTCTATTATTTTTAACTTCAAAGAATTTATTAGGAAATAATATTTTTTAAACGCACACACAGCGGTGAGCCCACAAGGGTGGAGCCTGTAGTTCATACGGAGAAAAACAAAGGATGTTTTTGCATTAATAAATTGAGAAATAACTGCTGTAAATTTACTAAAATGTATTTTTGAATATTTTGTAATAGTTTTATAGAAATAAAGCGTGCCACGCACCCACTGGTTAGTATATAATAACTGAGAATTCCTGTCGTGGCACTTTTTCTTTTCTTTTTGGGGCTCTGTTTTCTGGGACATTCAGAGCTCCGGTGTTCTACCGAGTTGCATCGCTGATACTGTGAATTCAGACCTGCTGACTTAGGAAACCGACATGGACCAACAAAACCACCGTTGCCCCCATCACTGAGGAGACCACCTCTGTGCAATGCTCGCTCTACCTACACTCTCTGGGAGTTGGTGGTGCTGTAGGGAGCAGTCTGCCCCACAGCCTCACCCCTTGACCAACAAAGCTCTCCTTGTAGGCCTCGAAGGGAGGTCCTTCATGCACAGGTTCCTCTGCCTGGCAACCTGGTGACACTCCCTAGTCTTCCTGTCTTCTATAGGGAAGAGGCCCCATAGCTGCTCATGTGCCCTTTCCAGAGGGTCCTAGAGGGGAGGACCATGCACAGCACTCTTGGCCCTCCTGGGAAGGCACTTGAACAGCTTCTCCATCTGGGCCTGGTGAGCTGCCTGCCTGAGGGTCCTTGGGCCACTCTAGTAGTTCTTGGTCTATGTCTGTCTGGAGCCATAGCAGGGCCTGAAGTTTATCCCCAGGGCGCAGTCTGTGCCAGTGTCAGCTAAGTATGAAGGAAAATCCCTCCCAGCTTAATACAGCCTGGCAGAAGTGTCCCAGGGGACTGTCCTGGACACTGGCCAGGGCCCCAGACACTGGGTCCCTCCTGATCTTTTGGGTTACTGAAGCAAATTCTGCTTTGCGATTTGGACGGGACTATCTGAGAAAGCTTGGCTTGACCAGATAACAGGGCCTCTGGGCAGATGGAACCAGTCCAGAGGGTAGACTTGGTTCAGGGAGCAGTACTGAGTGGACTCCTGTCCCACCTGGAAAGTCTGATCCCCAGGAGAGGCCTCTATGGGTGTCTGTAGCCTGAAGGGGCTATTTTCCCAGGAGACTGTGCCCCACAGGGTAGTCTTGAGGCAGGATCTGTCCTCTACCACTTCCACAGGGCCAGTCCTTCAGACAGGAGCAGGCCTTGGTTTTTCTCCACGGAAGAGCTTTCCTTAGTCTTGCAGGTGGTAAGCAGGTTCAAAGCTGGTGTTTGTCATACTTTGTGGAGTTGGTAGTCTCTGCTCTTTGGACTGTACTAAGTCAATCAAAGGTAAAACAGAATCACTGTGTGCACCCACTCTGGCTGTGCCGAGCAACCTGACCAATTAGTGGTGCAGCAGTGGGTCAGAGAGATGTTGACCATCAACCTAACCTGCAGGTTTTTCAGGGCCTGAAATGGGCTCTGGAGACCAGGGTGTCAGGGACTACTCAGCTCCAGGCAGTGCCCGCTCCTGGAAGGGCTGGGCGGCAGAGCCTGCTCCTCAGTCCTTTGAAGTATTACAGCAGACACGCATGAACAGGAGGCACTGCTCGGAGTGGCCAAACAGCCATAGAGAAGGTGCAGGCCATCCACCCCGGCGGGCATCCATGTCTCTCTTCACAGTTGATGGTGTCAAGACATTGTGAAAAAGGCATACCTGGCACTTACTGCAGTCCCTGGTACCCAAATGCCTATCTGTTCTTGTCAACCTTCATCAAAATGTTCTTGAGACTGGCATCTTTGTGCTGTATCATTTGAGTAATTAAAGAAATTGCAGAGACTTCCTACAATGTCTGTTATGTGGCAGAATTCCTATCCCATGTTGTCATACACATTTTTCATGTTCCTCCAGAAAAATCCCATTGAGAAAGTGGGTATTGCTCTCTAAATGGGTGGGTTGAGTCTAGCTGTGGGAATTTCTCCTGTGCAAGAACGACGTGACTCAGCTGCTGACAGAGTGGCAGAATGGTCCTCCCCTGGTGGAATCCCTCTCTTGTCAGCATTACACCCACGTGGGAAATGCTGGGCACACATGCAAAGAATGCCGGGTGGCTGCAAGGTTTGGCCAGAAAGCAACTCGGTGCCTGCCAGGGATCTGAGCTGGCAGGAGGAAGCTGGCTTGTCCTCAGCCTTTGGAGCTCTTTAAGACCCAGGAGAGCTGGGCCAGCCCTCTGTGTGGATGCCTGGCTTCCATGTGACTCCTTAGAAACAAATCACAAACCTATTCACGGGTCCTGGCTTTCCCCAAGCACTCTGCTGGGCACACATTCAAAGACAAAGGTGGTAAGTTATGGCCCCTGGACAAATCTGGTCTAAAGCCTACTTCCACAGGACTCATGAGCCAAAATTGTTTTCAGCACTTTTAGAAGGTCTGAAACAGAGTCTGAAGGATGCTATTTCCTGACACATAAAGCTACGTGAAGCTCACGTTTGAGTGCCTATCCGTAACATGTTATCGGGACATACTCAGACTCATTCTGAGCTTGTTACCTATGGCACCCTTCCGGCCACATGGCAGAGGTGGTGGCTTGCAGGAGAGATCATATGGCCTGCAGAACCCTGATTGTGCATTGCTCTGGATGAGGCTGTTTCCCATCCCTCTTTGGGCTTTTGGATAGAAACCCAGGGTTGGGGAGATGGTTCAGTCAGCACTCATGACACAGACAGGAGACCTGAGCTTGCTCCTCAGCACACATGCAAGAAACCTGATAGAGCAGCACTTACCTACAATCCCAGCACCTGGGAGGCAGAGGCAGGTGGATCCCTTGAGAGTGAAGCCAGCCTGAGCTACACAGAGTTCCAGGCCAGCCAGCGCTACATAGTGAGAAGTTGTCTCAAACAACAAAACAAAAAGAACAACAACAAACAATTAAACAACCAAGCAAGCCAAGCACAGCAACACACTCCTTTGACCCCCACACTGGGAATATGGAGTCAGAATGATCCCAGGATGGATCAAATCAGCAAGCTCCAGGTTCAGTGAGATACCCTGACGCCAAAAACAAGCTGAAGAACGATCCAGGAAGATGCCTGAATTGGCCCCTGAGCTCCACAGGCATATATGCACACGTGAATGTGCACCCCCCTACACATGTGTACATAAACACAAGTGTGCATACGCATAGATCACACAAGAATAAATAATGTTTTTAAAAAGAAACCAAACACTGGACATGGTGGTGCACGCCTTTAATCCCAGCACTCAGGAGACAGAGGCAGGCGGATCTCTGTGAGTTCAAGGCCAGCCTGGTCTACACAGTGAGTTCCAGGGCAGCTGGGGCGACAGGGAGACCGTGTCTCAAAATGAGAACCTGTCTCAAAAAGAAAAGAAAGAAAGAAAAGAAAAGAAAAGAAAAGAAAAGAAAAGAAAAGAAAAGAAAAGAAAAGAAAAGAAAAGAAAAGAAAAGAAACCAAACTTGGCTTTGGGGATGGAGGCTGCAGAAAGCACCTGTACGATCAGAGGGAGACCATCCACTAGAATTCACAGGACTGTGCACAGTGCGCTCTTTGAGAGCCAGAGAGCGCCTCAGAGGGCTCTCAGTCTGGAGTGGCGGGCAGCTACCCCCACCTGGTGGCGAAACTGCAGAGCTTACTGTCAATCAAAGATGTGGCTGGACAGAGAATAACTTCTGCCCAGAGCTACCTCCCCCCACTGAAGCCCCCCAAATCACCCCAAAATGGAACATCAGGGTTTGGACTAGCTTTTTTCCCACTGAACTTCATTTTCTCAAGTTAAAAAGAAAATATTACTAATTCACGTTTTATCACATAAACAAGTGCTGGGCCCATTGAAAGAAAGCCGGAGGTTGGCCTGGAGGGGTTCATGCCCATGGTCCACTCTAGTGTTCAGATGGCCAGCCATGTTTCCACATAAGAATCTAGTTTGACCTTCGAGGGCTGAGGAGTCCCAAGGTGAAGAAGCAATAATATAGCAAAAAATCGAAGGAACTCCACCACGCCCAAAATTGATTTCTAGAGTTTTGTGTACAAGGTGAGGACCTATGAGTGGCTTCCAGAAAAATGGCACTCTGTCCCCAGACACCTAGCCTCATCCCAGCTGGGAAATTCCCTCCAGTGGGCCTAGGCATAGTCCAAGGGTTGACTTCTAGACCTCCACAGCCTAAAGACCACTCCGCAAAGAGAAGCCTCAAGGCCAGGCCCATGTCTGTGTCTATCAGCTGC